GGGGACACCGGAGATCTCAGACAGTCCCTGTTCTTTTGTGCAAATGTCAATGTATAACTTATTTCCTGGAATCTGGAGTCTGTAAACAACATTACTTTCCTCTTTCACTACCTCCTCAGATGGGTGAAAATAACTACCTCATTTTAGTTTGTTTTGTAACCTTAAATGTAGTAGGCTTGGAAAATATAAGCAACCTGGGGATGAGGTGATCATCAATATAAAATATTTATTGTTTTAACTGTTGCTTATGCTTTGTTATTTATATTAAATTCTCCCTTAATTTTACAAAATCTTGAGTTTCAGGAAATATACTGTGAAGTTGTGTTGCCTATAATCTTGGCTCTTAGGAGGTAGAGAAAAGAGAATCAGATGTTCAGGATTTCATGAATACTTTGATACCAGACTGGGGTAACTGTATCCTTGTTACAACTCTGGTGAAAGCCTCCTACCCCATCAGAGATCAGGCCAGCTCCCTGACTCCAGGTAAGACCACTTCTGCACCTTGCCAGTGCCTGCCCAATGTAAACCTCCTCTCCTTGTCTCCATATCCCAGTTCACACTTCTGGAGGAAGCCTCCTACCCCACCAGAGGCCAGACCAGTATCCTGAACCCCAGAAGCCAGACCAGCATCCTGAACTCCAGAACCACACCAACTCCCTGAAAACCAGACAAAAGCCACTTACACAGAAGCCAGGCCAGAATCCTGGATCCAAGAGAGCCCCCAGACATATCAGAGGCCATGCACATAATCAAAACTCCAGTTTCCACCTTGGCGGCAGCCCCTGCTAAACAAGAACCCATCTAAGACATCAGAAGTCCATCTCCACTCAGTCACAGGACACTCCAGCCAGCAGACCAGAGAGGAAACAGAAACTAAGGAAGAAAATACCCACCCAACAAAGACAAACCCAGAAATTGTCCCCTAGACCTGTAATCACTTCAAATCCATATGTAAGTATAAGAACACCATCAACAACAGCAAGGGCGGTATGTCACCCCCAGAGCCCAGCTATCCCACTACTGCAAGCCCCGAATATTCCAACATAGTGGAAGCACAAGAAAATGCCCTTAAAACTAACTTTATGAAGATGATAGAGGTTTTGAAGAAGAAATAAGCAAACCCCTTAAAGAGTGTCCAGAAAACGAAGAGAAAACAAACAGATGAAGGAGACCAGCCTGGGCTACATAAGACCCCATGCTCTGCACCCAAAACCCAAGAAATGGTGTCTACCTTCATGCTTTGGCATATGGATACCAAACATTTACAACATTTATTTAAAAGACTGTATGTTGTTCACACATTTGTTGAAAATTAGTAGTCTAAGGGCTTTGTTGTAACTCTATGGTGCTCCATTATAAAGTATTGTGTTGTGACTGTTTCGATAACAATGTCATGCAATTTTGTAGATTCTAGTTTTATGGTATGTTTTGAATTAAATACTGTATTTTTTCTAGATGTTGTTTGTTTTTCTTTTGGTTCAAGATGATTTCAGCCACCATGATATGATGGTTATGTTTATTGTCATCTTGACACGATCGAGAGTTGACTTGGAGACAAGACTTCAGGCACACCGTAAGAGGGTATTTATGTTTGATGAGTCTAATGTCAGGGTTGTCTTACATTTCATAGCTGCAAGGATCTTCATAGTGTTAGGAGTGCATTGAACTTACACCTAAACTGGAATGGTTCAGGACACAGCACAGATCTGCCCTGCTGTGTTGCTGGTCTCTGCTTGGTGCTAGGGTTCCTATGGAATCCTGTCTCTGAGGAGTGGGCGATAGATAGAGTGTTATAGAAGGTTGGAAAGTGGATGATAATGAAGCACCTTGACTATGAAGGCTGATGTGAGGCTGAGCCGCACCTGAAAAACACAGAAATCTAACATGGCCTAAATGAACACTGCGGCTATAAGGAGGGATTAATGATATTTTTCCTTCTTGGAAGAAATGGCAATTTCTCGGAAAGAACATTGAATTGCACTCTAACTTAAAGAAAGGCATTCAGCTGGGGATTGCAGTTCACATCAGGCTAGATTAAAGAAACATGTTCATCTGGGAAAGAAAGGAAGGGAGGGAAAGAGGTTTGAAAGTAAGGAGGGGGAGAAGGAAGAATGGAGAAAGGGAGGAAGGGAGAGGTTAGAATACAGGAAGGAAGGAAGGAAGGAAGGAAGGAAGGAAGGAAGGAAGGAAGGAAGATAGAAAATACTTCTCAGATAGCACTTAACATTTTGGAGAATATTTATTGTCTTTTCATCTATGGTGAACCAGATAGGACTTCCATTTAATAGTACAGACTTTGTGTATTGTAGGATGGTGGATCTACATGACAGTCAAGGACACACACAGTCACTGGTCCCTGTAGCCTACCACCAAGTGATGATGAGTCTGAGAGATTACCATCAATGGAGAGAAACACTGCGGTAATACTGTATAGACCCTGCCAAAGAGACAAGAGATACCACAAGACAAAGACACTCCAGCATTATGCTCTAGCTCAGAGCTAAGCTGTTTTACATATAATGAAAGCCAATATGTGAAGTTGTCCTCCCAAGACAATAAGATAACAAGATACCTGCTTACAATGATGCTGCTATAAGCAAAAGAGAGTTTGTGGATAATATAACATTTGTATCTGAGTCAAATCAGCAATTACTAGCCTGAAAAATGAGGAGTATATTTAAAAGGAACTAGGACTCATTTTCATCACAGATGTGTAGCATTTACCTGGGATGTAAAATATACATGGCATTAAGTACCCCAGATGATTAACAGGTCAAAGATACCATTTCTAAGGACAACAACTGCTGTTTCTCTCATGTGTAAGACTAACTTTCAAAATAATTTGCTATATTGTACAAATTATACAAATATTCATAATTATTATGAAAATTTATAAAACCCTACATCCCACAGCAATCGTTAAACACCCAATAAAAACATCCCACTGATTTAGTATAGTGTTAGCCACTTACTGTAATGTATAGATCCCATAGATTCTGTTCACTGAAACACACAAAACCAAAGTAGAATTTTAATCCCTGCTCAGGGTTAATTAGAATGTATTTCTATTTTTCTTCCTTGTTTCTCAAAATTGAAATTTTCTCCCTGAAATATTCATTATTTAATTAAAACAAGCGTCACAGAACATCAGGCATGGAGACAGCTCCTAAAGTCATGGCTCTTTTAAGTGTGGACTTCCTGATGTGTCTGTAGCTATGTTGGTAGCATTATGTTGAGGGAGAGGGCAGCTCATTTTATGATACCCCGGGCTCTGGAGAAGCAGGAGACTGGCCACACAAAGGCCCTATGGAACAAGGACAGGGAATTAGAATTCTAGGTGAGCTGTGTATTTTGAGGACACATTTTCTTTGTCAAGGCCATGTCTTGGTGGCTCAAGGTGAGCTCTTGTCACCTTTTAGAGAGTCATATTGATACCTTGCCTGAGTTCAAGGTAGGCATGCCACTATTTCTTTCAATGGAATTCTTTTCAAAGGAGAATCTTTCTGAGTCCTAAACTCTGAGCCAACAAAAGGCTGTCAATGCTTATGGCAGCCCTTAGATTTTCAAAAACAGTTAGCAGATTTGTATTCGGTTGGCTTGAACATTGGAAAGGGTAGGTGATTTTTCTTAACACTACTCAGGCATCTACGAGCAAGGGTGGTCAGAAGCAGAGAGGACCAGAGAGGACAGTGTTATATCTGCTGTATCCTTGGAAACTGCTCTCTAGTCCTCTCTCTCTCTCTCTCTCTCTCTCTCTCTCTCTCTCTCTCTCTCTCTCTCTCTCTCTCTCTCTCTCTCTCTCTCTCTCTCTCCCGCCGTTACTAGTTGTCTTAAGCTGCTACAGTAAACAGGTGTGTAGGAGCATGTATAATACAGGAATATAATACATATAAACATACTTAGTTTTAATATTTAACATGGAGCAAAGGGGAAAATCTTCCCTTATCTTTAATATGCTTAGAGGAAGAATTGTTTCAAAATTTCACACGTGGATTTGTCTGTTTACTTGAAATATTCTGGACACATATGCTCCTTAGGAATTAGTGAGATGTGTTTATGGTTGTAATTCCCAATTTCCCTCCCCAAACTTCTTGTGTTCCTGAAATACAGTATTTTAACTTTCCAATGCAAACTTTTTTTTCAGTTACTATTGGTGGACAACAGTGACCCCCAGTGGATTTCAGTGTCAACAACATGTGGCCTTTACACAGGATGTGAATTTTCTCTTTATATGTTTTAAATGTTTTAGAAATTCTGGACTTTAAAAACTGTGGTGATATATTGTTTATGATCTATTAAAGTTTGCATGAAGATCAGATAAGCAAAGCAGCCAGCTCTTAACTCTACCTCAGACTTGGAGGTGGGACGGGATATCCTGACTCCATGAATCCTCAGCCCTTTGCACATGAAAATCCTTCCTGTCCTCAATGTGGCTGGAGAATGAATGCCAGCTCTGAGACTCTGATCCTGTCTTATATACTTCTCAAGTCCTGGGACTAAAGGTGTGATCCCTGTTTCTCTGTTAGACTGATTCACTCTCATGTAGCCCTGGGTGTCCTTGAACTTAGAGAGATCCATCTGCCTCTGTCTCCTGAGTTCTGGGATTAAAAGTGTGTGACACCACTGCCTGGTCTCTATGGCTGTGGCTAGCTTTGCCTTCTGATCTCCTGGCAAACTTTATTAGATCATAAACAATATATCACCTCAAAAAATCTCTGTAGAGTATTTGTGTACATTGTATGAGTAATACTCTTCTTAGGTGAAAAAGAAAGCCATTAGAAGTTTCAACACTATATATTCTTAATGATATGGCATACTGAGATAGCAGACATAAATATTTAAATGTAATGTGTGAGTAGCTGTTCTTTAGTGTTTTATGTACACTGCACTTGCTTTACTCTTATTTAAGTAAAAGTATCATAAATCTCATATTTTAGAAAGGTAGCTGCTAACTCTAAAATACAAAGAAAGATTTCAAGAAATAAACATTCTGAAAAATATAAATCTTGGTAATATTTATAAGACAAATACAATGGATATTTCAGTAGTCAGATGAGCCCAAGAAGCAATTTTTGTGGATAGAAAAACAAGAGGAAAACGCTTTGATGATTTCTGTACAGGAAAGCACGCTTCCAGAGGATCTCAGGTCTCAGGGAAGGGCTGACAACAAGTGTGCCTTTTACGTTTTAAAAGCTTGAATGCTGCTACATCTTCAGTGTATTGTGAAGTCATGTATTATCTACAAGCATATTATTTCCACATTAAACCATGATGTAAGCATTATGGTTCTTCTTCTTAATTGCGTTTTCTGAAAATGAACTAGATGTATCTGCTCATACAATTTTTCAAATTTGCGGGGTAATTGTGAAAAAAAAAGCTCTATAAGCGACTATGCCTTCTTCTCCCACAGGAGGGCAGCACAGACCTTTTGATTCAATTCTACTTTCTTGTTTTGACATTTGAAAATATCTTTCTGAGAGGATATCTTCCTTCCACACTGCAGTGAAATTTAAACGATTTGTCTTGTTTGTAAAATAGAAATATTTAATACAGTTTAATGATAGTCTCATGGAAGGAACGAGCCTCAGAACGGCATGTAACAGGTTACTTTTACAGTTGCTTTATAGCAATCACAACTACTTAAAACTCATGGCCTAAAAATAACTCAGAGACTGAACAGAAAGTTCACGAATGTCCTAAAGTATCTGATCTTCTGTGCATTTTACCTTATGGTTTCAAGGAAAACTCCAGAAGCATTAAAGTTTTACATTTTTCATGATTATGAAAATCTATAACTTTTCCTTTAATATTATAATTATATTAAATATTCCAATGGTGAAATAATTTCCCTGAAAAGCAGCTCGAACTCAAAATTGCAGCCACGGTCATGTGTTGACAAACACAAAGTGAAGCCTTTTAAGCAACACACTCGTTTAAGTCCTAGTTCTGTGAGCGGTTTGTGCAGTAAGATGAGTATGCGGAATAACTTAAGACACCTTCCCCCTGTCTGAAGGATGGAAGGACTTTGCATGCTGTCACTCTTCTTTCTCTTCCCTTTAAAGGTTCCCATGCGCGGTCCCTCGGCAGCCGGCAGAGGGCGCCCTCAGGAGTCCAGCGCGTGCCGGGGCAGACGGAAGTGCTCGGGTTTGGAGCGGAGCCTCTTTTCCTGGGGGTTGGCGTACTTCCACTTGGAGGGAGACATTTTAAGCTTTTTCCTCTTCTTATCCGTACACCACACCTTTTCGCAGTATTCTTCTACTCGCTGGAAGTTGCTGTAGCCAATCAGCTGCAGGAACTCCTTGTACCAGGGTTTCGTGCCCTGCGGCAGACTGCTCAGGGGCGGGCAGGGTGTCCTGTTGTGTTTTCCCTCCCCGTGGTCCTTCAGAAACATCCCCTCCACTCTCTGCTCTTCCACTACCTCCAGCGTGATTTTGCGCACGGTGTGGACAAAGCTGTGCTCTACCGTCTGGCAGAAATAGGTCCCAGCATCTGAACTGCGCACTCGGAGGAAGAGCAAACCCAGGTCCATCTTCACCACTCTGTCGTCTGTCTTCACCTGAAAAACCAAAACCGAAAACAAGTGGCAAGGGAGTACTGTGCAGTTCAGAAAACGTCAACCCGTGTCCCTTCCCATTACTCTTTTTCTCCCTGTCATGATCACGCCATGCAGGTAGGACGGTGCACAACTGTGCTAAGTAGCTAAACGAGTGCTGTGTATGCATCCTGCACTGATTTACATCGGAAGATACATCTGAATCAGTGACATTCAGGTCATTTACACCAATACAGTAAAGAGCCTAGCGCATGAGAGAGCTTTCACCCTAATGAATCTAATTCAACAAGAGGAAAACAATCCATATCAATATAGCAGTGGACACTAAAATGGAGTGAAAAAATCCTTTTTTTTTTTTTAAACAAGTCTGTTTGAACACACACAGCCAGTAATACCTCCCAGGTCCCATCATCATGGTCGAATATTCGGCAGGGCTCTCTGTCTAAATGCTGGGATTCTTTCACTGGTCGTGGCTTCTAAACCATCCACTAAATAGTTCAGTGAACAATATGGCATTCCTGTAAGACTGTCTATTAACTATTAACAGCAATCCAAATTCCACTGTAAAGGAATCTTCAGTTGAGGGTAAGTTTTAGGATATGTTTAGTGACCAAATAACTCCTCTTTATGCTCTGGACATATTTGATTATACATATTATTTCTATAAATAGATACATATGTAATTCAGAGAAGAAAGCCACAGGAAGGCTTTCAATGTTTAGCTGATACTCAGTCATCAACGCCTGTACTTAATGAGTATTTTATTTGATATTAGGCAGAACTAGCTTTAAATACTGGTGTGGTCACTATGTCAAAGGCTGAAGGCTCTTATGCTTATTTTCTGCCTTACTTTTCTCCCAAAAGGTGGGAATAATCTAGGGACCTGAAAGACAGCTGTGAAGATTGTGTGGAGTTACACAGTGTTGTCCATAGTTACCTCTGTCTTACGTATATGGATGCTCCCAGGTAAGGCAAACATAGGTGTTTTGTGATGTCTGTGATTTTACTATAATGGTAGATGGGCAATTCAGATCATACCTGAAGACTTCCCTGTGATAATACCAAACCAAAAGCTGTTTTCACCTTTGTAGATTCAAACGAGTTGCAGAGGCTCTGGTCACAGTCATCATGACTATATGTAACCCACTAGAAGGTCCTAGAGGTGCTACTGGTCCCTGTTCTTCCCAGCCTTGACCAGAGTGGCATGGCAGAAGACATATGACTCCAGAGTAAAAACTGGCCCACTCATGGAACAACAACATGGTGTTAGTACACTAATCAGAAATTGCACCCTGCATACTTAAGGAAATTTTAAGTTCTGAGGCTTCTATTTGGCAATGTTTTCTAGCCATGTGTAGCAAGTTAGAAGCTTCAGAAAGAAACAGTTGAGACAAAAAAGGCTCCATATATATAGTCTTCCTCCCTGTTTCTCTTCATTCCAGCACTCCTACCCTCTACTGATGAATATGTATATCTATATCTCAAACTATCTATCAATCTATCTGTCTATCATCTACTTATCTATACTTATAGACATCTCATCACTAACCCTTATCTCCATTTCTTCAGTGGTGACCCAGAAGCACATGCTTTGTCCTCACGGTCTTAGTTGCAGTGTTAGACCCCACACTTATCTCTCTGACAGTGTCTCACAGCAGACGTCCCCACGTATCCTTTTTCCATCCTTTCTATCTGATTCTCCTTGACTGCGTGTGTGGCTCCTGCTCTCTTCACTTTCTAGGAGGATGTTCTATGTCTGGTAACATTTCATTGTGACAGACAGATGGAATTTTATACCTCAGATAAACTTTACATGCCATGGGCCCCCACCTTGTCCTGCCACACATCTCTCCTTTCTTCCTATCATTTTACCTCCTCATTTCCTCTCTACATTTGAACACTTGAATGTCATATGCACATACACTACAGTAGTTTCCTGTAGCATCTTTCCTCTTTCCAATAACAAACTAATACTAATATCCCCTTCTTTGGAGCTTCTCTTTGATCCTGAACTGTGAATTTACTTAGATGTGTATTGCTTGCACAAGCAGACATGAATTGCCTGGGTGACGAGCATGAAACAGTGTTTCTGACATGAGGGTCAGGGAACTGGGGCGTTTCTGGAGGTCAGTCACTTTTCCATGCTACTGCGCTTGTCATTCAATAGCAGATGCTGACTGAGAAGCTGCGTTTTCTATCATGTGGGAGATGAAGTGAGAGATGGTATTTGTGATCATCACACAGCCTAAACCATTCTCAAAACTGCCCAGATGCTAAGAAACGCAAAGATGGGTTCAGTAGACCAATGACGCATCCCAGTCCAGTGAGCCCAAACAGCATCCCTATGCAGTGAGATTCAGAAAAAATATTAGAATCTTTTGAGTTGAGTGTTGGGATATTAAATTATTACATGACATACAGTGCAACAGGCAGAAGTTGCACACACACACACACATATTCATTATCTTATGCAGACAATTATTTCAATGAAAAAGTCATTGCATTAAATAATAATTTTAAGGGTATGTAGATTTCAAGTATTTCATTTGTAATTTTTTCAATCATATTAGAATATTTTACACTAGAGAACTAACATCACAGTTAAAAGCTCTAGAACACAAAGAAGCAAACTCACCCAGGAGGAGTAGACACCAGGAAATAATCAAACTGAAGGCTGAAATCAATAAAGTAGAATCCAGGAAAACAATACAAAGAATCAATGCAACAAAGAGTCGGTTCTTTGAGAAAATCAACAAGATAGACAAACCTTTATCCAAACTTAACAAACCCAGAGTGTGAACATGCAAATTAACAAAATCAGAAATAAAAGGGGGAACATAACAACGGACACTGTGGAAATCCAGAGAATAATCAGGTTATACTTTGAAAACCTGTACTCCACAAAATTCAAAAATTTAAAGGAAACGAAAAATTTTCTGGATAGCTATCACTTGACAAAATTAAAATCAAGAACAGATACACAATTTAAATAGACCTATAACCTCCATGGAAATAGAAGCAGCCATCAAAAGGCTCCCAGCCAAAAAAAGTCCAGGTCCAGATGGCCTCAGTGCAGAATTCTACCAGAAATTCAAGAACAGCTTATACCAAAGTATTTCACGCAATAGAAGCAGGAGGGTCTTTGCCAAACTTTTCTACAAGGCTTCAATAACTATTGATACCCAAGCCACATAAAGATACAACTAAGACAGAGCCTGCAGATCGCCTGGGAACTGCACAGAGCTCCCAATCCCGGCGGGAGCACCAGGTAAACAGGCCAGCTTCCCGGCCTGTGTTCCAGAGCCTGCAGATCGCCTGTGAACTGCACAGAGCTCCCAATCCCGGCAGGAGCACCAGGTAAACAGGCCAGCTTCCCGGCCTGTGTTCCAGAGCCTGCAGATCAACTGGGAACTGCACAGAGCTCCCATTCCCGGCGGGAGCATCAGGTAAACAGGCCAGCTTCCCGGCCTGTGTTCCAGAGCCTGCAGATCGCCTGTGAACTGCACAGAGCTCCCAATCCCGGCAGGAGCACCAGGTAAACAGGCCAGCTTCCAGGCCTGTGTTCCAGAGGCTGCAGATCGCCTGGGAACTGCACAGAGCTCCCAATCCCGGCTGGAGCATCAGGTAAACAGGCCAGCTTCCCGGCCTGTGTTCCAGAGCCTGCAGATCGCCTGGGAACTGCACAGAGCTCCCAATCCCGGTGGGAGCATCAGGTAAACAGGCCAGCTTCCAGGCCTGTGTTCCAGAGCCTGCAGATCAACTGGGAACTGCACAGAGCTCCCAATCCCGGTGGGAGCCAAGCACCCCAGACTCCAGATCTTATCTCCCACCAACAAGTCCAGGAAACTAGAGAAGGCTGGGAGCACAGGGAAGTAGCTGTCCCTCTGGCATCATCAGGTAAACAGGCCAGCTTCCCGGCCTGTGTTCCAGAGCCTGCAGATCGCCTGGGAACTGCACAGAGCTCCCAATCCCGGCGGGAGCACCAGGTAAACAGGCCAGCTTCCCGGCCTGTGTTCCAGAGCCTGCAGATCGCCTGGGAACTGCACAGAGCTCCCAATCCCGGCGGGAGCACCAGGTAAACAGGCCAGCTTCCCGGCCTGTGTTCCAGAGCCTGCAGATCGCCTGGGAACTGCACAGAGCTCCCAATCCCGGTGGGAGCATCAGGTAAACAGGCCAGCTTCCCGGCCTGTGTTCCAGAGCCTGCAGATCGCCTGGGAACTGCACAGAGCTCCCAATCCCGGCGGGAGCACCAGGTAAACAGGCCAGCTTCCCGGCCTGTGTTCCAGAGCCTGCAGATCGCCTGGGAACTGCACAGAGCTCCCAATCCCGGCGGGAGCACCAGGTAAACAGGCCAGCTTCCCGGCCTGTGTTCCAGAGCCTGCAGATCGCCTGGGAACTGCACAGAGCTCCCAATCCCGGCGGGAGCCAAGCACCCCAGACTCCAGATCTTCTCTCCCACCAACGAGTCCAGGAAACTAGAGAATGCTGGGAGCACAGGGAAGTAGCTGTCCCTCTGGCATCATCAGGTAAACAGGCCGGCTTCCCGGCCTGTGTTCCAGAGCCTGCAGATCGCCTGGGAACTGCACAGAGCTCCCAATCCCGGTGGGAGCATCAGGTAAACAGGCCAGCTTCCCAGCCTGTGTTCCAGAGCCTGCAGATCGCCTGGGAACTGCACAGAGCTCCCAATCCTGGCGGGAACCAAGCACCCCAGACTCCAGATCTTCTCTCCCACCAACGAGACCAGGAAACGAGAGCAGGCTGGGAATACAGGGAAGCAGCTGTTCCTGCGGCAGCATCAGGTAAACAGGCCGGCCTCCCGGCCTGTGTTCCAGAGCCTGCAGATCACCTGGGAACTGCACAGAGCTCCCAATCCCAGCGGGAGCATCAGGTAAACAGGCCAGCTTCCCGGCCTGTGTTCCAGAGCCTGCAGATCAACTGGGAGCTGCACAGAGCTCCCAATCCCGGCGGAGCCAAGCACCCCAGACTCCAGATCTTCTCTCCCA